CGAAAGGCACAACATCGAGATAATCATCCCCGCCACGCTGGATAAAAGCAAGGGTCGACGCCCGATCTTGTCGAGCAAGAATGTGGCGACGAGGATGAAGATGGTCTTGACGAAGCCGACGGCCATGGTGGCGAGGAGTTGGTCTCTGTCCTGAGTGACGCCGGCGCGCTTGAAGATCTCAGGGCTATAGAGGACGACGGTGTCGATGCCGGAGGCCTGCTGGAAAAAGTGGATGCCGATGCCGCAAAGGAGGATGTGGCGGACGGCGGGGGTCGGGCGAATGAGAAGGTCACGCCAGACGCCCCCGCCGTGGTTGTCGCAATTGGGGATGGGGACGACGTCGTCGGTGCAGGCTGCAGGGATGCCTGCAGCCTCCTTGATATCGGCGAGGCGGAGGCGGGACTCCTCGAGGGAGTCGGAGGTCTTGTCGAGGACGCGGCGGGCGTCACCGAGGCGACCTTGGAGGACGAGCCATCGGGGGGACTCCGGCATGGCGAGGACGGAGGCGGCGATGAGGACGGAGGGGACGGCCCCAATGCCGAGCATGAAGCGCCATCCGAGGTGGGTGGGGAGCTTTGAGAAGGCGAAGTTGGAGACGTAACCGAGCAAGATACCTGAAACGAAATGCAATGATTAATACACTACAAGAAACATCAATTTCACCTAAATCTTCCACGTTATGGTGTAAACAGTCTTAGTTGGCATTTATGATAAAGATTATTTTTTATTATATGTAAAAAATCACCATATTATTTAATTAAGTGATAGTGATATATTTATATATAATTACTACTAAATAACATTTAATAAAACTTATTTAATTTTAATTATGTGACAATAAAATCATTTTCCCTTCAAAAACCGTTATTTTTGATGTATTTAATCTTTCATTTAATAATTAAATAATCAACACACTAATCAATTCAAAATTACAAAATTCATTTTAAACTTTTGATTACTGACAGTTGATTATATAATGTGTTGACCGTATAATGTGATTAGATGTTATTATTGTGGTTACATTCAAATTATTTTTTTTTTAAATAAAAAACGTATCTGAAATTTCTAAATAAATAATAAATAATCCACACAAAAAAAAACGTACCAAATAAATATTACATCCAATTAGATAAACACAATTTAAAAAAAAAAATATATTTCAACTCCTTTAATTGTAAATTTGATCAACAAAAATGTGTAAAAAAAATAATTAATCATTATATGCATAAAAATAACTCACAATATTTTATTTACATATGTGTAAATGCTCGGCTCGGAATACTAGTGTCAGTTTGAAAACGCAAGTGCGTGGGGCGAAGAAATTACAACCAATGTTCCCATTGCAAGTTGCGGGCATGACATCATTGTTGGACCACATGAAATTGATTTTTTTTTTTGTTTCTCAATATTAAAAAAAATAATAAAAAAAAATAGTTTTGTAGATAGCATAAATCACAAATTATTAAGTGTTAAACCTGTTACCTATCTAAAACCTTATATTATAACTAATTAATGTTGCGTGTCTGATATTCAAGACATTCCCTAATTAAAGGGATTTAATATATGACATAATCTTTCAATTAATTAAAGTTTGTTAGTTTGAATAATTGCATGCATAGCATAACACTAATTTAAAATAATATAAAACAAAATATATTTTTTTCTAAAGATTCCCCGACATTTGTCATATCATTCAGCTTTATTATGAAACTCTAAGCTTATATTTTAATAAGAGTTTATATTTATTTTAAAAAAAAATAAATAATATTAATTTACTTATATTATTTCTTATCTTATATTATATATATACTCTCGTGATGCCTTGACCATTCACCAGACACCAATCACACTAGAATTATTTCGTTTGACATGAATAATTTTCAACTCCAATCAATCATACAAAACAAAACGAAAATAAAATAAAAAAAATAGCATAAAACCAAGAAAATAATGGGTGTAGCGATGCTACAGTCTCGTTACGGAATCATTTTTTCGGGGTTTGTAACTGTTGAATCATTTATAACCGTCGAGAATAGTTGATCTAACGATTACAAATCACGATAAAATGATTCCGTAACTTTACATTTTTCGAAAATAATAAGGGAGTACTTAGCCTAAAAATCAATACTAATAACTAACATGAAAAGAAAAAGACAAAAAAACTCACCGAAATTAATGAACACCTCAGGGAAAGAAGTGAGGAAGCCGCGGGACGACGCCGGTGCCACCTCAGCAGTATATACCGGCGCAATCATGAGAGCATATCCGACTCCGATTCCGGCCACGAACCGGCCGACCATGAGAAAGGCGTAATTTGTGGCGAATCCCATGAGGAGGGCTCCGGCGAAGAATATTGCTCCGGCGAAGATTATGGTGTACCGGCGGCCGATCCAGTCGGAGGTCCGGCCGGCGGCGGCTGAGCCGATTAATGAATACAAGTTGAGTATTCCCATTATAACCTCCTTTTGCACGTCGGTCATGTGGATGGATTTTTGGATGTAGATTATGGCCCCACTCATTACTCCTATATCTAATGTTTACAATGTGAAAAATAAAAAAAAAGACAAATTTATTTCTCAATAATTACTAATTATTGTATGATGACTATATTATGTGGGAAATGCTACAGTCTCGTTACGGAACCATTCCATCGAGATTTGTAACCGTTAGATTATCATGTAACTATAGTGGATAGTTGATCTAACGGTTACAAAATCCGAAGAAATGGTTTTCGTAACGCTACCGTAGAATCTCTAGTAAGATGGAAGTCATGGAGACGAGTAAGATAATATGGGTTATTACTAAAATTAGTGAACTCGTACCATATCCGAGTAAGATGGAAGTCATAGACGCGAGGAACGAACATGCCAGAGCATATTTGTTTCTTTTCGGTTTCTTGGGCGGGTCGAAAGCGGGTATTGTTGGTAACTGTGATTGGTCGGTTGAGACAAAGTTCTTCTCGCCGGCCATATTTTCAGGCGAACTTTTTTGTGTTTAGTACTAATGTGAACTGAGTAGTGTGTGTTTGTGTATATATATAGAAGAAAATAGATAAGAGAATTTTGTGAACCATATTTAATTCAATCCACTTGACTAGAATTAGATGAGTTAGCTAAGTGCCAAGATAACAAGTCAATGTTTTTTTTTTTTTTTT